ACAAGGACTTCTTGAAGTTTGCAGGCAAATGGATGGAAATAGAAAACACTATCCTGAGTGAGGTAAGCCAGACCCAAAAAGAGGAACATGGGATGTACTCACTCATATTTGGTTTCTAGCCATAAATAAAGGACATTGAGCCTATAATTCGGGTTCTTAGAGAAGCTAAATAAGAAGGAGAAACCAAAGAAAATCATAATTGGTTTTTAGCCACAAGTAAAGAACATTGAGCCTATAATTCGCGATCCTAGAGAAGCTAAATAAGAAAGTGAACCCAAAGAATAACATATAGTTATCCTCCTGGATATTGGAAGTAGACAAGATTTCTGGGAAAAAATTGGGAACTGGGCGGTGGGGTGGTATGGGCGAAAGGGGAGATGCGGAGAGAAAGTGAGAAGGGGAGGATGGGGAGAGCTTGGGGGAATGAGATGGTTGGGATAAAGGAAGGGTAGATATGGGAGCAGGGAAGTATATATCTTAATTAAGGGAGCCATTTTAGGGTTGACAAGAGTCTTGACTCTAGAGGAGTTCCCAGGGGTCCAGAGAGATGTCCCCAGCTAGGTCCTTGGGCAGCTGAAGAGAGAGAGCCTGAAATGGCCTGATCCTATAGCCATACTGATGAAATGGTCAGAGATTATCTAATTTACATTGCTATATTGCACGAGATTTCAGGTAACAAGAATGAGCACTCACATATATTATTGACAAACAAACCTTGAAAATCTGATAATCAGTATGTTATTTTTCAAGAAGTTTATGTTCAGTGTCAGAATATATACATTAGTTTATATTGCAATAGATTTAAACAAATATGCAGTTTTACTTCCAGCTTACTTATTTAATGTATCACTGTGATGATTACATATTGATTTTAGCGCAAAAGAAAAAATAATTGACATACGGTGGAAAGACAATTCCAATAAAGAAAACAAGCAACCTATGTAACATCAAGTGTCTCAGTTTTCCCTTTTTAGAAATATTTAGAGTTACTGCAATGATAATCATAAAATCTTTTTTTTCTTTTTTCTTTTTGTTTTTTCAAGACAGGGTTTCTCTGAAGCTTTGGAACCTGTTCTGGAACTAGCTCTTGTAGACCAGGCTGACCTTGAACTCACAGAGATCTGCCTGCCTCTGCCTCCCCAGTGCTGGAATAAAAGGCATGTACCACCACTGCCTGGCAAAATATGCTTCTTTAGTTTCTTCTATCCCTTAAATATTTTATCCTCACAATAATCTAAGAAAATGAATGCTCTTAATGTTTTCTTCTCTTTGTAAAGAGTTTAAACTTCCATAGCTATAAAATGTCATATGAGGACCAATGAGATGGCTCATCTAGAAAGGGTATGTAAATTCCAATTTGATCCATGGAATTTTCATAGCGGAATGAGATAACAATAACTGCATGTTGTTTATTGTCCATAATTTAGACATTTTACACATACACATACACACACACACACACACACACCACTAAGATGTAATAAAATGTTACTGGAGCACTAAAATTAATGAAACATGTATTTGTATAATTATTCTATTCATTCATTAAACTGAATGCAATAAGTGTAAAATAGTACAGCTGAAATTAACATACAGGACATTTAAAACACCACCACATATGTTGTAGAGTTTCTCAGAGTAAAACTTATTTAAATAGCAGTTTGGAAAATAGTGAAATTTTTCATTCACTTTTAAAGAAAGAAATTATCAATAAAATTCTTATTTTCAGAGTTCAACAAATATACATAGCTTTAGAAAATAACAGTGCATGATAAAATGATTTAAAATATAGTAAGGTCTTGGGCTTTGATAAGCTATTTCACAAATGCAGGTGTCACAATACATAAACAAAACTATTAGTATCTCTTCTAAACTACTCAGTTTTTGACTCTTCATGTGGTAAACATTGACCCTAGAAAACGATGATATTTGGTTGATAGACAATATGCTCTTTTACCTAGGTTAACTGATTTTCAGAACTACAAATATCTTATAAACAGTGTGCTACTAGGATACATGCAATTGTTATTTAGATATGAAAACAAAAGTTATTCTCTGATTAACTTGGTAAATTTGGAGTCAATTTATTTGGTATTAAAAAAAAAACAGAAAAGTAAGCATAATTATTTTAGTTTCAAAAGCACTTGTTTAATAAGTAACATTTGATATAAAATGTCCATTTTGGGGAAAGATTCTAAAAACATAAGTACATTCCAAGCTCATTTTTCTGTTAATTTTCATATTTGGAGTTATAATGATGGAAGCAATTCTAGACAATATCTCTCTGTGTATATGAGAACGTTTCTGGGAGGAAATTATCCTTGAATGAGCAGAATGAGTATAAGGCCTTCCTTTATAAAAGTGATGATCTTTACAGAGCACAAAACAGAAAGGATGAATTCACTGTCTCGGATAAGCTTTGATGATTCTCTTTTTTCCTTTATGCTCATTCACTGTGGCATATGGGACTTTTTCAGGTGACAACTTACAGGAATGAATATTTTCTCAGGCTTTTTATTTAGATGCTAGACTCGAGATTGAGACATTGTCTCCTTGGATTCTCAGACTTTTATACTTGAAGTGAATTTCATCACTGATTTTATTACAAAATATATTCTAGATAATTTTGAAAATTTCAGTAGCTTTGCATTTTCAATTTCAAGAATAAATTGGTATTTTATGGAAATAGCTATGAAATTATGTGTTATATAATTATCAGTTTATACAGTGAATTCCAGCAATACCATTATTACAGAAATGTGTGGTGACAATAGAATAAAACATAAACTTAAATATAAAATTACAAATTGACTATAAAACAAATGACAAGTAAATGGTCAATTAAAAGAAAAGATTTTACTCTGCATAATTTGAGTTTTGAGTTTGAAAAACACTTGTTTAAGAAATAACATTTGATTCAAAATGTCTATTTCTGGGAAAGAGTCTAAAAATGTAAATATATTCCAAGGTGATTTTTTCCTATTAGATTCGTATTTGAAGACAAAATAATGGAAGCAATGCAAAACATTATCAGTAAAGAACTGGTGAATTAGAACATTTGTAGAAGAAAAATAAAAGTAATAAAGTTGTTGAAAACATTTAGCTATAACTATTACTTTAATTTGTGTTTTAATAATAAGTAAATAAAAGTATAAACCTTTACTAACCACCCTTTTAGCTTAGCTTAATAAAAAATGAAGCAGAAATACATTGGAAAGTAGACATTATATAAAATAAACTGAAATATACAAAAACTCAATAATAACCACAGCTAAAATATAAATACTTAGAAATAATATATTTTATAGATTACACATTTAAATAAGACTTTAGAAGCAACTTTCAAGATTTTAGAAAGGTAGTTACAATGTATCACCTAGTCAAGTCCCAAAACACTTCTGTGGCAAATGGAATTTTCTGTCCACCAGTATATTGCTAGTATTTGTTCATTCAAACCATGATATATTTTGTGTATACACAGATACCTTTAAAATTATTATATATAACCTGTTTACAGAAAAACATCATGGAACTATACAATTAAACATAAATTTATTTTAAGGAAAATGGTTATGTGTATACATATCTAATTATTATGCTTAAAATGTGATACAAAAGAACGATTATTAATTTAAAAGAGCACAAGCTCCCATATATTACCAGTTCAACTAGACTTTAATCTTTTCTATATGATTTAAATTATATACAAACATCTACACCAATCCATGGTTCCTTTAATTTTCATAGAAAATCCTACAAACCCACGGTGAATGGTAACTTTGAAACTTTAATGATATTTAAACTTACCCCATTTAATGGATATGTTTTCCATCCTAGCTCTCCCATCACGGTAGTTGTATCAAGCAACACAACTAGAATTAAATAGATAAAATTTTAATGAGTTTCACAACTGATGAAAAACTATATCAATATTAGTTGCATCATTAATACAAAATGTTCTTACTGCTTCTTCATCACAGTAGCTTTTTGATCATTATTTAAACTACTTATATTGGCCTATTATAATATTTTGAGATAAGACATATAAAATTGTCATAAATCGATGCAAAAATATTGCACATGCATTTGGTTTAATAATCTTAAATGACACTGAGAATTGAATAAAATTATAAGGTTATTTTAATACCACAAATTTTTCAATTTAATGAAATATTCCATACTGTTTATTCTCTAACTTTGAAACATAGTATGTTAGAGAAAAGCTGTATTAGCACAAGACTCTGTGAATTGTTGTTGTTATTAAATCTTACATAAATATCAGCAAGAAATGAATATTATTCTTTTTGAATAAACCTATTCTTTAAAGCATGAAATACATAAGTACTAGACAGTGTATACCAATTGATGATTGAAAAAAATTAAAACTATGAATATTTTCATGTAACAAAAGGTAACTCACAATCTGATAAGAGAAAATAAGCTATTCATCAGTATGGCTATAGGATAGGGTCATTTCAGGTTCTCTGTTCTCAGCTGCCCCAGGAACTAACTGGGGACATCGCCCTGGGCACCTGGGAGCCCCTCTAGCACCAAGTCTCTTGCCAACCCTAAGATGGCTCCCTTAATTAAGATATGTGCTTCCCTGCTCCCCTATCCAACCTTCCTTTATCCCAA